CCAGCTTTCCCCACTCCCCCCCCGGCCCGAGGCGCGGCGTGCCTTACTTTGCAAGCCACCCGGTGAGGGCAGAGCTTCCCGAAGCCCAGGGGGGGCTGGATCCGCCGGAGCAGTGTCACCACGTCCAAGTGTTTGATCCGTCCCCTAAAGAAGAAAGCACAGTGAGGGTCGCATCCTTACCACGGGGCCACCTGCCGATCCGCCTCCTCGGTCTCAGGGCTATAGCAGGCACAGAGGTGCAAAGGGTGTTGTTTATTTTTTTTCCCTGGCGCTTTACCTCCCCTATAAATAGCTCCAAGCCACTGTCTTTTGATACTTGTTTATGCTTTGGGCTCTCACTGGAGCCAGGGCAAAACAAAGTGCTGAATTTCCTCCACAGCAGCTGTTGGGTTTCTTTTAAGTTCTGTGAATGGCATCGCAAAAGAAGAATTCTCTCAGGGAGGGAGGAGAGCTACCAGAGCCAGAGGTGGGGCTTCAAGTGTGGGACATGGATGGGGAAGAGAAACAAAAGAGCTTCCCATTTACAGATGGGAAGGAACAGGGTGTCATCTGGACTGAGCGGCTCTCTGTTGTATGGCTTCAGCCACTGCAGTGTTGCCTTCAAACAAGCACAAATAGTAGCATCTGTTTTGTTAGCGAATGGTGTTTTTATTAGAATTCTGTGTTTATCCCCTATCCATATTAAAAGTATCTCTGGCAGTCACTCTGGCAAAGACGGGTTTCAATTTACGTATCACTCTGATAATGTGACATGGCCTCACATATTGCAGAACCCAAGCCCAAATTAATCTTGACACCATGTCTCCTGAAGAGATCTGCTTTTAGTTTATGCCAAGATCTCTTTCCACAGTTTTTGCATTATGAAGGGGGCTTTGCAATTCCAATTGTCAACTGTACTGTAATGCCACAGGGATCTAAATGCACTTTAAGCCTAGGCATGTGTCAAACAGAGCATATAATGCTGAATGTCAGTTAAGCCCTTGTGTGAGTTGTTCTTGTGTAACTTTAAATCTCTGCAAGTCTGCTGATGTGAATAACCCTGCAGACAACGTAACTCAGCCATGTGAAGGTACAGGTTGTGATGGGCCTATATGACACATGACAAAACGGAGATTTGAGTACAGTAGCTCTACTGTGAGTAGAAAGTCACATAGAAGAGTCACAGCTCAATACCCCAAACACATGTAACAATAAACCAACACGCTAACCTCTTTTGCTCAATTTCCTACTGCCCCTCCCTGGACAGTCTGTACCTCCCCGCAGCTGAAAGCGCAGCAATGTCCCACCAGGTAACAGCGCAGCCTAAATGCTGAGATTTTTGTGTGTATCTTTGCACTGCTGGCTTATGGATTCACCAGCAATACCTTGTGGAGGTATCTATTTTGGGATTATTGCAGAAAAAAAGTGTTCCTGCAGGAGGAACATGGCACTTACAGCACTGGGTCTAGAGAACAGAAAGTAACGGGCCTGTTCTCCCGAGGAGCTCTGATATCCAGGCTGGGTTACTTACTTGGCTTCAGGGTCATACTCTGCCCAGATCCTTTTAAACTCATCCAGGTGGTGTGGTCCTAAAATGGACCAGTCCCGTGTCAGGTAATCAAAGTTATCCATTATAACAGCTACAAAAAGATTGATGATCTGCAAACAAGGACAGAGATGACTTGATGGATGAGGCAGGTAACAGTAGACTTTACTGGGTTCTCCATTTGAGGTCTGGATTTGGACTCATAAAACTAGGAAGCCATTGGAGGTGGGTTCTCTGTTTCCCCATGGCAGTCCCTCAGTTTAAATGGGAAGATCCCAGGGGTGGGATATTCTCAGCTGGTCATATTTTTCTCTTCCCTACTGAATGGATGAGGCCCAAATTTGCTGAATGCTTCGACATGCTGTGATGGCTTTTTACCTGTGTCTTTGCCCAGCAAAATGGGGTAGTGGTGGTGGAACCTATGACTTATCCTCTACAGGCAGCAGGGCTGAGATAAAAGGCCTTCCTTCTGGCCCAAGACCAAAACTTTTAAAATGTTGCTGCTGTTCACTGGGAGAGTTTTGTGCACTGATGCCAGCTGCAGAGCACGCGCTGTCGCTCTGAGCAATGCCGCATTGCCAACACGGAGCAGATGCAAGTGGGATATGTGTATTCTCACAGTCATTGCTGCTGGCAGGGGAGTAAAAACCTGCTCAGCAGCCAGAAGGAAGGTAGGAGGGAAGGTGGGAAGTGTGGCTGAGGCGTTGCTAGCCTCAGCACAGCCCACAACATGCTAATTTGGTTTTCTCATTGAGGGGGAGGGGAGGAGAACACTCCTTTGCTGTGCACAAAGGATTGGGATTGGAAGCAGAGCATCCCCCAAAACTGGAGGCAGGCAGGAATGGCAGTGACCAAGGGGGTGTTGTCACTGTAACGGAGCTGCTGGGAAAGACCCTATGGGGAGATTTCCCCTCCTTGAGATCATTCTTCTGTGCAGTGCTGATATCTGGGGAGGCAGGGGGTCAGCCTGACTGAGGGCAGGGTTCGGTGGCTGGGGCAGACTCACCAGGAAGGCACAGAGCATGTAGAAGCTGATGAAATAGAAGACGGCGAAGCTGCTGCCACAGGAGTGATCGGCTTCGGTGGAGTTGGCCGGCTCCGACTCTGGGTCACACTTCTTGTCTGGGAGACATGCCAGCATGATTTCCTGCCAGGCCTCACCGGTGGCACACCTGGGCATGGCAAAGGAAGAGAGCAGTGACCTTCGATGTGAGAGGGACTGGCACATTAGCAATCTATTCCTGCTCCCATGAGCATTAATGGGAATTTTGCCACTGAGGTCAATTAAGAGCAAGTCAAGCTGATGGCTGGGCTTTGACATACACTGGTATACTCTGCTCCTCTTTTTGGCTTTGTTGCCATCATCAGTGTCTTGTTCCTGACTGGCTTTGCCTACTCTGGTTACAGGGCTGTCATGCTCCTACCAGCCAGAGCCATCAAGACGTGTGTGAAATGGCTGTGGACTGCATGAAAAAACTCCTTGAAAACAAGGACAGGATGCTGAATTTGTGCCAACTCCCCACCCATTCAGCACCCCTACCTGGCCCCAGCACACCTGGCCACAGCTGGAGCAGGATGATGTGCTAAGCTGAGCTGGGCACGGCCACGTCAAAGCATGAGTGGGAGTTCACATCCCTTTCCCTGCTAAAATAAGCTGGAAGTCATACTGCATTTGCGATGCACATCAACATTTGTGAGCACTGAAAACTGGCTACCTCCCCTCCTGAGTAGGAGGACTTGCCTCCCTCCCCGGCACTGAGTGTTGGCCAGTGTCAGCTGGCAGGGTACAAGGCTTAATGGATCAGTCATTTCATCTGATGTTAACTCCTGGGCTCCCCCACGAAGGCACAACATGTTTCCACTCACCTCGTGAGCATGACACGGTGGAAGGAGATAAGCCGTGCCCAAGAGCAGGGGAATCGTGCTCCCAGACTGACACAATCCAGAGCTGTCAGACACCTACCTGAAAAGCAGCAGCACTGCCTGGGGGAAGGTCTGGAAGTTGTTGTTGCGGTTGATTTCTGTGGTATCGTTCAGCGCAATTTTACCAAACACCTAGCAGAAAGCAGAGGTCTTTTCAGGTTAGCCCTGCAAAATCCCCAAACCTCTTGTCACCTGTAGCTCTTGGCCCCACCCTGACTCTGATATTTAACAGAATCTGCTCTTCTCTTAAAAAATCATTTCCACAGGTCTTTCGTATTTGCTGTTGCTTCCCTTGCTTGTGCTTTATTACCAGAAAAGCACTCATTTTGTAACAAGAGGCATCTTTTGTTAAAACAAGACATCCTTCCTTCTTTCCTACACTGTGAATACAGGATATGGGGCCTTATTTTACCAGGCACTCATATGGGGAGGGGGGTCCAGCTGAAAGAAATCAGTAACGCAGAAGAAAAGGCTCCTTCTTTCATTGCTTATCTGTCCTCACCAGGAGGAAATGATAGCAAAAGACCAGCAGCTGCAAAGCCTTGAGCTTCCAACTCTGTGGGGTGCCTTGGATCTTCCCAAAACAATGTAAAGTACGTTGCCTTGAATGTGGAGATTGTCCAAATGCTTGCCCTTCTAGTTGCCACGTCTGTCACCAGCAGGTGTTTCAGCCCCCCCCCTCCCCCTGAATGCAGCAGTGTGAAGATGATGACGCTGTATTTGCCTAGGCAAAGATGGCTTACAGCTTCCTTCCATGCCCAACCAACCGGCACTGCACCAACTAGTTGATCCAGCCATAGGACGAAGCCTGCAACCGCCAGCAAACCTTTTTAGGGGACCTGCCCTCAGATGTGAAGCCCCCAGTGGAGAAGAGTTTCAGGCTGCTTTGAAAAAGTCTTACATAGCTTTGGTACTTTTGGGCATCAGGTCTGAGAGCTTAACCAGCCTCGCCTGGCAGAAAGGTATCTGCACAGCATAGTCAGTCAGGACTATTTATTCCCCATTGATAGCAACGTGACAGAGATCTCAAGGACCGAGAGCCGTAATCTCGTAGCCAAAATGAGCAGCAGGAACAGAGCAGCTCAGAGGGAACATGGAGCTTCTTTTCAAGCAAATGTCACTGGTAATTAACACCCCAAAGGAAACAACGAGGTGGAGAGAGGCAGAGGGACAATGGCGGGGAGGCCATGCCAGATGGGAGGGAGGGTCTGTACACGGCAGGCTTTCTGCAGGGGTTCCTCATGGACGTGTGGACCTTCCCCAGCCCCAACCGCTCCCGCACCGCACCGTGGGTAGCAGTGACAGCCCCAGCTGCACTGAGGAGGAGCAGGAGGACAGATTAAACGCTCAGAGGCAGTTTGAGCTGAGGCAGCCCATGTTTTTCATTTCAGGCAAGCGTGGGCGAGGGAACTTCCCATGCTGGAAGTCGAGTTTTCCTTTCAGCCCTGCAGCTTCCCTCACACACAATGCACCAGCAGCAGCTACTATGGGTGCTTTACATTAGGCATCTACGAGGAGCTGCAGGTAGTGGTTCCTCTCTCATGGCCTCTCCAGTCTGTGCTTCATGGGCCATGATATGAGTGGCTTCATCCATCAGCACCAATTTGGATTTTTCCACTTGGGCACTTTAGGTAGCGAGGCCTGAATGTTGTTACGCTCCAAGTCATGGCAGTAGCTGAGATAAAGTGGTAGGCCTCCTTTATGAGGGAAATTCTTACATTTTCATCAGATCTGGTACATCTAGTCTTTTAAGGTAGCTGCTTAATGGAGTGAAGAAGGATTTTCCTTTCTACGTGTCTGTATGTGTGAGGGAACTCTCTGTGTCAGCAAGTTCAAGAGAGCAGCACACAAAATGTCTGAGATGCCATTTGGACAAAAAGTGATGATAACAGGTCTGTGGGCTCTAAGCTAAGAGGGAAGATGAGAAAAGTTGGTTTTCTCATTGGAAGACAGGAGGGCAGCAAGCAATCTAGTAATCTGGATCAACGTGAAAGACAGATGCATGATCTTCAGGCTGCTGAGATGGCTAAAACAGAGACTTGAACGTAAGACAAGGATTAAATAGCCAACTTGGAACTATCTGACAGAAAAGGGAATAGAATTACAGAATAAAATATCTAGCTGTGGCAGTGCCCTGATCGTTGTAGACTCCATCTGTGTGGGTTATTGGAAGCCATTTTTAATGCTTTGTGTAGTTATATAACACTAGTACAATATTCTCAAGTGATTTTCTGTATAGCACAGGTAATCCTGTAAGATCTTGGCCATTTGAGCAGGTAGGTATTAAAGGCAAAACTGGCAAGTTTGCAGTATAAGCCTAGTAGACTAAATGACAACTGTAATTACTGGGGGCAATTGAGATAAGCTATGATAATTCAATAAAAGATTAGGTTTTTTTTGGGGGGGAGGATAGATGGAGTCTGTGAAAAGATGTGGTTATAATAACAGGAAACAAATTAAAGCAAGGTCACAGAGGTCAGATGAATTTTGTTACAAATTCTGTCAGCATTGTGCAACCAAGCAGCCTGTCACGTTTGAAGACCTCTGGAAGCAATTATGCCATGCCTTTCTATACTTTGGTCTCTGGACCCAGATGGCTGACTTGTCTGAGATCTTTGATTAACACCAAAGTGGAAGGTGAAGATTAGTTTGAACAGCAGCACAGCAAATGAGGCTGGGACTGTCAGAGACTGAGCCTATATCACATGCTTTCTTCAATGGTCTGTATGCAACATCAGTTCCTTGCACAGATGAACGCTCAGGCAGGTTCCAAGTTCATTTTGTAAACCGAGTAGGAATATTGTATTGATGCAGCTTCCTGAAGAACTGGCACAAACACAGTGTTGGTACGTTGGGTCTGATCCCATATTTACTTTCACGGGTGTAAACCAGAAGCTGCTCTTTACAACTCAGTGGAAGTTACGTCCATGTGAAAGTGATGCGAGAGAAAAAAATTGATTTGTTTAGTGCAGCATGGCCATAAGCCCATGGAAACAACTACTTTGAACCAATAAGTGAGGAAGTAAATCTCCTTTGCCACCACTGCTGGGTATTCCTTTGCAAGTGTGGAGGTCAGGCATGGTCCTTTTACTGTTTGCATATTGCATTCTGCCATTAAATGGGTTGGGTTTTTTTTTTTCTTTTTTTTCTTTTTTTTTCTGGAGTGTATTGTGCTTCCGTTGGAAGTGCATAGGCAGACAATGTTTTCTAACCACAGTTAGCTACTGTCTTACCTTACTGGGTGAAAACATTCTTGTAAGCCCCTAAAACCACATATTGATCTAGTTACTTTATAAGTCAGTTCCCAAAACTTAACAGGAGGAGACAGACGCAGTTGAGCTCTTCAGCATCACTTACCTGCATCCCAATCACGGCGTAGATGAAGAACAACATCACTATTAAAAGAGCCACATAGGGGAGAGCCTATAAAAAGAGCCACATAGGGGAGAGCCTAGAAAGGAAAAAAAAAAAAAAAAAAAAAAAAAAGAAAAGAAAAAAAGAGAGCACTGTGTGTCCACCGAGCCGGGCACACAGGAGCCTGGTTCACGCTCCTGGCTTTGGGAAACCGACCAGAGGCTGGCCCCAAACGTAGACTGTAATTTGGCCAGATGGCCACTAGATGCCTCTACAGTCCCACATTTCCTTGCCCTCCCCGCCACCATCCTGCTGCCACCCAGCTCAGGCAGGCCCTAACTCTGCTTCCACTCGCCATGGTGTAGCTTTCCTGCTTTCAAGTTAGTCCTGCCCTTGGCGGAGTGAGGAAAGTGAGGCCAAAACAAGCGTCTACAGCTGCTTGCCAAGAGGGGAAATCTCTCATAACCAGTATCATTCTGGCAATGTGATTTTTTTTCTGGATCCAGTCTGGCGAAATCAAAAACACAACAGCTGCAGAGATCCAAATTCAAGGTTTCTGCTACGGTGGCTGGTACCACCCTAAGTACCTCAAGCAGCATCAGCTTTGTTCCCTGTTCAGTGTTAGGTGTCTGTGACAGTGTCCGCAATGCACCAAGTGTCTGTGATCAGCTGCTGAAGAGGAAATGCAGAGCCCTGATACGCAGAGCTGCCTCGTAAGGAAGAGGCCAGTGCAATCAGCAAAGTGTTGAGTGCCATCGGTTTCCTCTGCCACTAGCAGGAATCAAGGGCACAGCTCGGGACCTCACAGGCTCAGGCTTTTGAGGAGGAATTTTGGACTCTGTTGCTTTTGAAATATACAGTGCTCAGACCAGATATTTCCAGACCTTACTTCAGAGGCAGACAGATACATCCTGAAAATGTGAGTACAGTCTCTGATCTGGATTTTGAACACCCTATTTCGCAGGTTATAAAAAGCCTACAACAGTATTATTTTATTTTAAAATAAGATTATTTACACATTTTAAGTTTATATCTAAATTCAACAGAGCTAAATCCTACAGGAAGAATTGAATATTAAAATGGCAAAAATTCAAACCTTTAAACAATGTCTGTAATCATCATCTTGAGGCTCAAGGACTGATTCCTTTGTGTTTTATGGGGTCAGACAAATCTGTATGGCTACTCCACAATGTCAATAGTGATACATCAGCTCAGAACTGGGGTCCAAACATGTTGTGATGATCTAGTCGGACTTGATACACAAGAGACCTAAAAAGAGCTCCTGGGATAGTGTCCAGGCAGGACCTCAGGTGTATAACCTTACCAGTTCTTCTGTCTTTCAAATGGGGATGGAAAAAGTGTCTTCTCTCCTGGCTTTCTGGCCTTACACTTTCTTTCCATGTTCTTCCACTCAGCCCATTCCTCTCCACTGATCCACCTTCCTACTCATCTCTGCCCTGTATTCCCCATGGCTCCTTCAGCTCCCCACCTCTCATATTCCACCCTTCTGGCTCTGTCCTCCTCCGTCTTCATCCTTCCTTGGCTTTACCACTTTGTCCTTGTGATTCCCACGGCCTTGCCTTGCCCTCGGCGCCCCTCTCATTTCCTACTCCTCCCACCCGCCAGCCTGGGCTCTGTAGCTATCTCTGCAGGCGGAAACCCCGCTGACCACTTTCCCACCACACGCTCCTCTGACCAGTGCCCCAACTTGTACGTAAGCACAGCGCGCCATGCGTAGGGCAGATGGTAGTTACGGTGGGATCTGAACTCCAACACAAGTTTGTTGCTCATTAGGCTGCCCTGTGTGAGCAGAGATGCTTCCTCGAAGCATGTGGGGACACGGAGAAGAGCTTGTGCCAGACAAAGTCTGCAAGGATCCCAGATTTTGACAGTGGGAGTGGCTGAGTTAAGAGCTCTGCACAGTGGCTATTCTTAGCTACACAAGTAGCCTCCCAGTAGTAGCAAGAGGAGGAGCTCTGAGGAGAAAATACCATGTTATAAATGGCTGAAGGTTTTCAAGGGAAAAGGCACTGCCTTGCAGTGCTTTCTTTTCCTCCCTGCCCCCCTGCTGTGGAAGATACCTCCCTCGATACTTTCTCCCATCACCCTACAACCCTGCCTAAAAGTGACTCTCCAATCCAAGAGGTCTGAAGGTCACTGGAGGGAAGTACCAGGCACTCCCTTTCCCATCCATCTCATCCTCTCCAGCCAAGAGCTGTGGCAAGCTGAGTGCAGGATAAGAGGGAGCTATTGCTAAAGAGGCTGGAGGGGCACAGGGGCAAGGGGAGGAGAAGCAGGAACTGGAAAGTGTGACTCTGTCCCCTGCATCAGGGATGGCTGAGCTGTGCCAAGGGAATCTCATTCCCGTGCACGCAGACAAAATGGTTCCCACTGGAGCCGCTCAAATAACAACCTGGAAGTTAGCAACCATGTAAGCAATGGAAAAAGTCACTTGTGGTACAGACGTGTACAATATTAGATCCTCTGGCAGTCAAGGAGTGTGCAAATGAGAGTCCCTGGCCTGAGCCTGGTGGTCTGGCTACTGAGACCACCTGAGAGCTGCACTAGAAAAGGTCCAGATTGATCCCTGGTGTACACATGTGCTACTCCTGCTGACGGAGACAGCAGTCATGGTCATCCACAGCACTGCAGGCTTTGGTCCCAGCTTGTGTTGTAGCTGGTGAGGTGTAAGTTTCAAAGTGTGGATCAGTTCCTTTCCTGTTTGAGTCAATACAAACGCTATAGACCATTTAAAGCCCGAATCTGCAAGATATATGGCTGCTTTTTCAAGACTTGTGTGTTGCGCAAGTTACTCTTTCACACTTTTGTCCAGTGGTGCCTCCTGCATCTTTTCTCATGTTTAGACCACCATTTGTATTCCTGTGCTGTCTTTCCCTGACACTTCCTCCGGACCTACCCCAGCTAACATCCAGGTTGTGCTGGCCTACTAAATCCAGGTCAAGTACTTGTAAAATGCAGGAATATGCCATGCTTCATCTTTAACTATCATTTTTCTATACATGGCTAGGTTAGGAGCTGGTTTGGAAGCAGTTTTTCTAGCAAATAGCTGTCTCTTGGTGTTTGTTTTCCCCCAGAGGTGATGATTCTTATCCAGTCTGGTCTCCCCAACCTACTCTGGCACTTTACCTGCCACTGAAATGCAACCTGCCTCCAGGGCAAAAGCAGCAGCAATTTAATAACTTGGCATTGTTACCAGGGCCAAAGGTGGGGGGTCAAAAAGGTGAAAATCTTCCTTGATGAAAGCATGGGCACCACACACCTCTAATACTCACTGGAAATCCTCAAAACAAGGCTTAAGGGAACCTTAATTGAGACCCAGGCCTTCCCCATAGCTGTGTATTTAGCTTCAAGCAACAGATATAAAATACAGCTAAAATAGAAATAAAAAAAAACACAGAGGGGAGACTGAAGGGTTATAGAAAGGCGGTAATTGAGTTGAACTGAACTATCAAGGCTGTTCAGGAAGGTCTCGAGCAATTACTCATGCTTTAAAGAGGAAACTCATACCCAGGCAGTCATCCCCCGCGAGCCCTATTTACTTGAGTCTCATTTGTGCCATGTGTCACTGGTGTGCACAGCTCTGACCAGCTCACTTGGGTGAACCACCCCCACCCCACCTCCCAAGGGGCCACCAGGGGGAAAAAAAACCCACAGAGTTAGCTCTTACTTAGAGATAAGAGAAGGAATACCTGGAAAGACTTGATGAAGGTCCAAAGCAGCGTCCGGATGCCCTCCCCTCGGCTCAGGAGCTTCACGAGACGCATCACGCGGAAGAGTCGGAAGAAGGTGATTGAGATGCGAGAGTTTTCCTCTGCGTTCTGGAAGCCATTGGCACAGAGGCAGGAGTTACAACAGCACGGGAGGAACAGAGGCCCTGGGCCACAGAGGACGCTACGCCGAGAGCTCACTGCACTGTTCCTTGTCCTGGTACCGCTCCCTGGGCTTGCACTGCCCTGGCACCCCAGGGATGGGCTGGGGCCGGTCAAGCCTGCCCTCCCTCCCATGGTGGTGAGACTACTCTACAGGGGCTCTGAAGGCCATCAGCCTCTCCCTTCAGGTTGCCTGGACTTTGGGGATTAGCAATGTGTTACACTATAAATTACATCTTCTCCTCACATTGGAAAGATGCAATTCTTTGACATTGTACCGGAGAAGAAAGATTATTTCTCTTTTGGCCTGTCTGGGATGTTTTACACCAGCGAACACCTCAGCCAGCAGTTCTGGTCAATCTGGTGCTGGGCATCAGCCACGTGCCGCTCGCTCTGCTGGGAAACAGTAGCAGGTCCCAGGTCTGTCCCGGGGTGCGAAACCCTGCGGGGGCACAGTGTGCACTGCCCCTGCCCAGCTGCCGGAGTCACTGGCACGGCTGGCAGCCTCGGCTGCCCCTGCGCCGCCATGGCCATGCTTTGGGATGGCTGGGCCCCAGGCGCTCGCTCCCGCTGCTCTGCGTTTGGGCCTTTCGCATTTCTCATGACCCCTTTGTATTTCCCACAGTCTGCGCACTGACTTTTGTTTTTTTTCCAAACATTTTATTTTGGCTCACTGCTACTGTTCAAGCGTGCAGTACTTTAAAATAGTCTTTCTTCTGGCCTTTTTTTTTTTTTTTTTCTCTCACAGCATCTGCTTTGTCCCTAAGCATGTTCCCCTGGGCCCGTAACCATCTCTGACGTTCCTCAGCCTTCACACGTCTGAAGGCAACATCTGTCTGAGCGCCGCAGTGGCGGCAGGCTCACCTGGGCCTCGGTGGAGGACCCGCTGCTGCCTAGCTTGAGGGGAGGCAAGGAACAGAAAATGCTGTGTTTCCCAGTTTGTCACCCCCCTAAAATACTGTGTGAAGCCTGTGGAAATGGTGGTTTCCACTAGCAGCACTGTGGGAATGTGACCTCCTGTCACAGGGGGAGATAACGCTGTCACCCTGACGCTTGACCTGCCGTGGAGCAAAGGAGTGCACAGAACTGCCCCGCTCTGTCCCCCACCCAGGCTGCAAAGACCGCAGTTTGAGTCTAAACGCCACCGGAAGAGCAACATTTAGGAGGAAGAAACAGTGCAGATCACCCCTGCTGTTAACTACTCACCACTGTGTAAACCAAGAGAGAACAGACCTTTTGGATTTCCTGTCACCGGGCAGCAAAACCAGCAGCTGCTCGCCTGTCTGCTCCTGATCAAACCCATGGCACGAGAACCGCCGGGATGTACCTTTTTGGGATTACACGTCCAGATGAGGACACGTACCTGTGCGCTGTGTGCACTGCTGTTTCCAACCCAGGATGAGCAGGTTGGCACTCAGCCCTGTCGGCCCCCGGCTGGGTCGGTGCCCCAGCTCCTGCTGTGCCACCGTGGGGGCACACAGAGGCCATAGCTGCTTGCTAGTGTGTGTGTGTGTGTGTGTGTGTGTGTGTGAACCCCACTCACGCAGAAAGCGCAGCGCTATGTGCAGTAGGTCAGGATTGCACCCCAGCTGCCATTTCTCTGTCTATCTGTGGTGAATCACTGGTAGATATTTCGGATAGCTTCCTCCTGTCTGCAGCACAGGCTGACGCTCGCTGCCCGTGCAGTAACAGGGTGAAAAAGATTAGGGGAAGAGGCAGTGTCAAGGAAAGGACTGAGCGCTCCCTACATCTCACATCGTTCTCGTTTTCTGACTTGGACGACAGGCTGGGGGCTTCAGTGTATTGGAGGGAATTGCTCTGAAGTGAAAGAGGGAGTGTGGCCTTCAAGGAATCAAAAATCATGGCATTCAATACTCTCAGCACTTCAGTCCCACAGGGCTAATTATAAGGTGACACACCTCTCCCAATCCTACAGAAGTCCAATCGCCTCTCTTCCACTTTCTCTAAGAAGCTAAATTCCAATAGCACCTAGAAGAGAGTTGAAGTCCAAATTCAAAAGTTGTGTGGACAGCAGTACTGCTGTGGTTGTGACCAAAAAAAAAAAAAGCATTTTAAAGTGTTTTCTTATTCTACCTGCTGCCGTTCTTGTTGGCTTGGCCCTTTGGATGGCAGCAATTTGGGACATGGGCTTGGACAGAGGTTTTAGCATTCCTTTCTCTTTCCTTGCTGAGAGGAGGCAGCTGCCATAGACAGAAAATTATCCCTGTCCTCCTAGTGTCCTGGAGTAGGCAAAGTCTAAGCAGCAGATAACATAGAACAAATTCCTCCCTGATGCAAATTTGCAACTTACTGGCATCAAACTCCTTAGTCAAAACCACTCAGTGATGCCTGGGGAGATTATGGTCAATTTAAGACAAGGTGGCTACAGATTAGTTGGTGCTTGAGTAGCCTTGCTTGCTTTCTCCTGGCTTTCATCTAGCTTTTTGAAGGCGTAACCTTGCCAGAGGAGGGAGGTTCTGCAAAGTGGCAACCAAGAGACTGGAGTTACTGCAACTCTGTTGGGGTGGTGTGGGAACTGTCTTGTACACCAAGGCAGCAGAGTTTGTGTGCACCATTGCACAACTTACTCTTTTTTGTGCAAAGTACAAACTCAAATTTTAGAGTGAATCACCTCCTTGAAGAGGAACTTCAGAGTCCCAGTCCTTTCTAGTCTGGAGGCTTGGACGTGAAGTCACATTGCAAACTCATTCCGTATCACACTGATTGTGACACAGTTTGTTGCTAACAAGAAATCTTACCAGGTCTAGTTCTCTCTTGGTGATTCATTAGAAGGCAGAACGACAGTTAACTTGACCAAAGGAAAGCTCAGGATGCACAAGAAATACACATGTGCAGCATATTCACAGCTCATGTGAACACCAGACTCACACCAATACACGACATGGCAGCTTCATGCACAAATAACTAGGCTGGGCTTGGAGAGAGAACTCGTGATCACGGGGAAGAGAATAAAGGAGTGTGTTAGAAAGAGTTTTTTTTTTGGTGGTCTGTATTTTCGGTCTTACCATAGAGGAAGAGCATTGGGTATGTTCAGCTGGCTTTAAAGAAAGGCAGACAGAAATAAGCTGTAATAAGTCTCCAATCAAGAGCCCTAGTAAACTTGGCTAACACAGTGGCCAGCCCAGCCTAAACCATGACACACAGGAGCAACAAAATGGCAGAAGAGGGCAAAAGGGAGTTTGAAAGAAATGCACAAGAGGCTGGGCTTATTCCCTAGGATGCCCAGGATCAAAGCTGGCTCTGGCAGAAGTAGGTACAACTCCCATTGAATCTGATGTAAGCTGTATCCACAACCACCACATGTGAATTGCGTCCAGTATCTCCTGAGTGCTAGACAAGCCGGCATCCAGGCACTGCAGGTACCGCTATTGTTAAAATGTTTCTTGTATCACTACTATCAAGTTCAATACGGGGGCTGATTTAGCGCCCCAACTCAGATTCAGGCCACATCTGCACAAGGACCAACCAGCTTCTAGTGCATCAGTCGGGCTTGTAAACCCATAATATCCCAGTGCTAAAGCAACATTTTCTATTTATATATCCCCACTCCCTTACACATGGTTCTGGGTGATAACATTGTTGTTACTAAGACAATGGGTTGGGACGGGCTAATGAGCTCTTGGTAACCCTACAATACCCATCGCCAGATGTGGAAAGTGGGTTGGTAAAGCTGGGTAGCCTGCTGTACCTTCACCCACCTCACTGCAAAGCTGCAGATACCCAATGGATGTGTCCTTGGAGGCTGAGCTGAGCTGAGCCCTGGTCATGCCTGAAAGAGTCTAGTTGCTGCAAACACACTGCCTGACATTCCTTGATTAACTTCTGGGCCATTTCCAATACTGAGAGAATTCTAAAAAACACCCAAGGCTGCAAATACCCTTTAGGTGTAAGAAGCAGAATTGAAAATTAAATAAAACCACCTTTATCGGGAGTCCTTCAGTTCAATAGTAACATAATCCTTCAGGCTTCACCTCTACCATTGGCCCTGTATGCCAAACCTGTCTGTCATTACTTCCTGTGACTACATTAAAAAAGCTGAAACCGATGTATTTCTTCTTCTGCCAATGGCAGAATTCACCTCTAGTGCCACAGAGGACTCCTGCAGCATGCTCCTGCTCTCCAAGGACACTGCAGTAACCAAACTGGCATTGTATTACCAAAATAAAAACTGTAGTTTGGATGCACAGCCTGTTTGGTGATATAGGCAAATGAGAAAAATTAAAAACTCAAGGTACACCAAATCATAAAATAGTTTTTGGGGTTAACTCATTGGTTTGGTAGTGTCAGCTTTCATTGCTTTATCCTCCTCTTTCACATGTTTGCTCTTGTGTTTTCTTTTCAGATCACATACAGGCAAAAGTTGTCTTGAATACCAAATAAAGGAGCGGTGCCCATAGATATATTTCTTAAAGACCAGGCATAGGTTTTGATTTTGTGTTGCTGGGCAAACATCTCCTTTCCAGCAAAGAGTTTCTCTGCCCCTTCCCCCATCCTCTTTCTAGTTTTGCAAATCATCTTTTCTAATAATAGAAGGACCCTTATTCTGCTAGTTGCTGCATTCCTGGTAGAAGGTACAAAACCCCTTCAAACTAACTGAAGGAAGCCCAGAAATTTTCAGCACCTTTCAGGATTCTCCATCCTTCCTGGCTGACAGTGTTGGTGCATCTGTGACTGACTGGCTGAGGAAGCCTTGTAAATTACTGTGGAATATTATACCTTGATTGTCATTTTGATATAGTTAGTATTTCATCAGAAAGTGTAGACAATAGTAATGTAAGAGAGTAAAAAAAATCTGTATAAAAGGATATGACTATATAAGACACTGTTGATACAGGATGCTCAACTTGGAGGAGTTGGCATTATGCTGAAAAACTAGAAACCAAAGGTTCTGAGTATCTTTGGCACTGCTGAGAAAGTGAAGTAGAGGTTGACATACTCCACTCTTATCCCCTGAACTAACTGGCCTGTGTTTTAAGATGGGGTAAAATATGTAGCAAATTACATCACTACCTACAATAAAGGCTTGAAAGCAGCATGGGAAAGTTTCCGTTAACGCTGGCAGGTGGTATTTGTACAAACTGTAGTACTGTGGGCTGAAGTTCCTGATATGCTTGTGCATACAGTATTTTGTGTGTGAGTATGTAAAGGGGGAATCAACCCGCAGCTGTGGGTTGCTGAATACATTTTCTGATATCCACAAAGGTTTCAGAGAGGAGACAAATCCCACAGTTTTCCACCTGTGCTGAAAGTCACCATATGGACCTGAGCACAGATCTGAGAACCTATTACTAGGACTTTCAAGTGTGGCCATTCCTAACTATAAAGTCAAGAGAGCTGTTGCTAGATTTTCTGAGAATCTTCAACCTTGCAAGTGATGTGGGTATGCCAATTTTAGGACAAGGACAGGCACCTGGCACCTGAGAACGTAGCAGTCACATCAGTTCACAGGGATGAAGGCATGGTGATAAGTACTTGGAATTAAAGCGAATATCTAATGCCCATCTGAAGTGGACAGGATTTCATTTCTACAAATCTCAGAACAATGTACAAAACCAAATCCTCATCTATTTAATATATTTGAAAGAGCTTCTGGAGAAGCTACACCACATAACAGAAGGTGGCCTTGGCTGTACTCTGTTTTACTTGCAGCCATCTCTTCTCTTGCTTGTGGTCTAACCTGAAAAGCAACTTCAAGTATTCTACCCTGCTCTTGTCATTTGGGGCACAAGTAGCATGCACATAACTGCATGAGAAAGAGCAACAACAATAACAGTGAGATCAGCCAAGAGATGATGCTCTGCGCAATTTCCATCACAGAGAAAAGGGACCTGATGTATAAATCACAAACAAGTCCAGGGATATACTAAGAGTGATGTAGAAGGGAACCAGCAGGCTAAGAATGGGAAGAGAAATACCTGAGGCAGGATGCGTCTGAGTAAAGACATTCAATGGGGATGAGTGCTGTGAAACTGCTTAGGCCATTTATTATTCTTTTTTTTTTTTCCCTCTTGATGTCACCATATTAAAAAAGGTAATAGAGATGCTAAGGAGCAGAAGAGGTCAAGAAACAGAAAAGCAGGTTCTAGAAGCCAAAGTAAAGATTCAGAAGGATAAAGATTGAAGGATCCCTGAAGCACGTCTGAAAAACTCCTCAAAAAATTGTTGCTTGCATATATGTCGTTTTAACTATGTTCAATGTGTACCAGAGCACCAACATTTTGAACAGACACATTGCTAGAGCTGCTGCTAAACTGTGAGCCCCTACAGGCACAAAAGTGAAAGGCACAGCTTATGCCCATCATGAATTCAGGATCCCAGGTAAGGAGGCCTCTGGAAAAGGAGAGGTTTATTCAATGGAGAGATACTTAAAATATTAGAAATCATAGCACCAAATAAGGTAACTGATAGTACTGTGTTCCTGCTAATCATGCTCCACCTGGGTAGGTGGGAGTGAGGCTTACTGGTGGCTATTTGCAAAGAACATACCACCTCCAGATGGGTACAGGGAGCATCAGAGTCTCCTGAACTTCCATACTGATTCACATATCAAACGTGGTGTCTCATCTTGCCATCAAGTCAAGGAAACAGTTTTTAACAGGTCATGTTTATGGTTTTCCAAATCCTGATAATAGCATGAATACTTTGGAAGCTAGGAGAGGATAAAATTCACACTCCAGGAGAACCAGTTTCAACGTTTCAAGGGCAATACGTAACAGTCAATATCATACAATGTTTATGTTGTGATGTAATCCATTCTGAAATTCTGAGAAGGCATGAATTTGTTCTTCAGAGCTGTTAAGACAGGAGCAAAAATATGAGGAAAAAGACTAAAGACTTTGTACTGTCATGGTAGTATCAAAGTCCCTCGAAATATCCATGGCTTAGAATATCTTCTGGATAGATAAAGATTTGAAAGAAAACAGTAAGGTGTGTTAATAAATAGATTCAAATGAAATTTGCAGTAGAAAAATCCTGAGAAGAGATATCAATCCCACTTCATCCCTGTGGAACACTGGAGATGGAGGACCATGTTGAGAGGTTTGACTTCCCTGGGGTTTTTGGCTGGTTTGCTGTCAGCTATTAATGGCTATCCAGAGAAGCAGCACCTAGAAATGCCTGAAGGGGAGCTCCACTAGGTTTGTACAGCATATATTTAATAAATATATCCGAGGAGGCTCCTTGGCTGCTGGGTAAGTATGCTTTAGTAGTTGTAGAAGCCTGACTGCCACTGAGATGATGGTACAGGCAGGCGGCGTTCCCATTACCAGCACTGTTGATGGTAATAATTTTCTTACACTGCAGAACACACTGCAGATGGTGAGTTCAGCTCCTTCAGAGGATCCAGTCTTTGCTAGGAAGTCCAATCTGATTTTTTCCTGGCATTTGAGGAGTACAACTTCCTTGCTGATAGGCTTTTTTCACTTTCTAACAAAACTTCTTTCCCATGCATAGGGAGGAATCTCTTTTTGCAAGACAGAATCCAACCTTTACGTTGTGGAGAGCTCTGGCCTGGTTTGATCTGGGGAACATTTAAGCAGCCAAATGCACAGTGTTACTGTTGCTTTGTTAGTCAGAGTTGTCTCAGTCAATGCAGTGGTACATTGGCAGCCTTCTAATTTTGCCTGGGAGCCCTAGGTTTGAAGAGATGAGAGGAAATCTGTGTTTGAGACTTTAGCACCATGATATGACAGAGTATCTTCATATTTTTCAAGAAAACAAATGGTCAGATGCTAATGTTGCCTTTTGTGACAAAAAAAATCTATAATGGCATTTCTCCGCTGTGGAAAATATGGCTTGTGGATGAAGCTCTTATGAGACCACCTGCAGTAGTTGGTTGTTGGTGATGGATGTCTGCTATGATGTTTCCTTGATTGCTGTTGACATTTGGAGAATGAAAAGTTACCCATGAAAATGCCATACCTGTTGGAAAATTGTTCATCAGTCTGTTAGCCTCCCATGAGGAAAGGGGTGATAGATGTTCACTCAAATGAGCTCTTTTTTCTGCTCATTGCAGGAAGGATGCCTCTGGGAATCTGCA